ACGTCAAAATTGTATTGTGAATAAATTTGAAGCTGTAAACGCTTTGCGTAAGATTTATGATAAAAATTCTAATATCGAATGCGAATTAATAATGTACGCCTTAGGTGATATTGTATATCATGCACAACATGACGAATAAATAAATGTATAAATTTAAATAACACATCTCTCAATTCTTCGCTTTCTTCCATGCATCCTTCGCGCTGTATCGTATAACGCGCTGCGCCAGCGTTATCGCGTGCGACAGCATCACCGCGTGCGGTATCCGTATTGCGCGCTCTTTAAATTATTTAATTCATTAGAAGAAAAAATAATGAAAATTATTTATCTTTATCGAATTATTATTATTATTATTATTATTATTATTACTGCTGCATAAAAAGCATATATCTATCTTTTGTAATAGAAGCCGCATAAAAAGAAGATGACATGAGAGAGACGGTGAGTATACATGGTAAGTATACACGGTAAGTACAGCGCGGCGGCGGCGGCGGCCCGCGCGCGCGATGGCAGCTGAGGTAGGGGCCGGACCGCGCCCGGAGGGACCGCGCCCGACGGACCGCGCGACAGGGGAGAACCGCGTGCGATAGCTTACCGCGTTCGGAGGACCCTGGCGGCCATTGATCCCGCGGCGACCACCGCAATTCTTCCCGCGCGAATTTCCCGCGACATCAGCACCCTGTGACGTCATTTTCCTCCCCGCCATCCCTCTGCGCCGTCACCCTCCCCCTTCCGTGATGTCATACCCCTCTCACCCTGTGACGTCATCACCCTCCCCTGCCGTGACGTCATACCCTCGCCCTGCTGTGACGTCATACCCTTCACTTAGTGTTTTATGTTGGTAAACCTGGTTCAAAATTAAGTGCTTACGGAAAAAAAGCTCAAAAGTGCTTACGGAAAAAAGCTCAAACTCAAATTTGACTTCTCAAAAAAAGCTCAAACTCAAATTTGTCCTAGAACCCGCCTATATACTCTACTGGCAATCAACCAGGAAGCGCAAGATCTGTCGGATCTTGTCAAAAACCCCCATGGTACGGGATTCGTAAAAACGTAGTGCGTGAGTACGGTCCCGTGTTTCAGTATCGCCACTTTCTTTACGACGAATCTCTCGTTAACGATGAAACTTTGCAGATCCACGAACGTCGGTACATGCATGTCGTCGAGATGAAGATGACTGCGATCGTTGTCGACGTATCGTAGATTTTTAAATTGCGCGCTTAGATAATTTTACGCACAACGTTGGTCAGCGAGTTATACTCGATCACGCGATCGTGTATGATGAGACAGTACGCGGTAGTATTCGCGGGTACGTTCTCTTTGCACTCAAAGTCCATTCGCAGGTCCACTGTCGCGCTCTTGACCGATTCGTTCTGTCGAGAGCAATCGATGATTACGAACGGACCGTTCGTTAAAAAAGTCGTAACGGTGAGATTCGGTTCGAGATACTCGTATCCGTAGTAACCCTTGCAGAAACGCGCGTACATATCGTACAGAATCGCCCATTTGTTTCTAGTGAAATCCAGATTCAAGTCGTCGTACGGATAACATTCCGAGTTCAGGTACAGTTTCACGTTGGTCAAGTTACAGTCGTCGAATCAACTCGTATCCTCGGACATCTTCTTTCGATCTGTTTGCAGAGCAAAGATAACGTATCGTGGTTTTTCCAGCTGAGTCGCAGTTTTCATAGCCCAGGAATGCTTCGTCGTATTCGGTAAAAGCGGGTACTCGTACAGATCCCACGAGCGAAAAGGCATGTTCAGATATCGTCCACTCTCCAAGGCCCGTAGCTTCGACAGTTTATTTATCTCGCTCAATACCACGTGCGGCATTCGCTAGGGATGCACGATACCGGATCGATATTATCAGTATCGATTTTTTTGCGCCAAATATACGATATTTTGGATCGAAACATAGGGTTCGATATTATCAATGGATCAATAATTTTGGAGAGTATCGTATCGAAGCGGCCATCTTGAAATTGTCAACACTAGGTTTGTTCGCGTTGCTTGAAATTCCTAAAAATGTTTGCACTTAAAGGGAGGTAAGTATATATTTAGGCGTTGAAAAGACAGAAAACAAAGTTACTAAATGCAAAAAGTGCAAGCAACGAGAACAGACCTATTGTCAAATCAACAGTCGCAGCCTATTTGTTCTCTACTCTTAAGGTACATTCACATGCAATTGTCAAGTATGGCAGTCCGGATCACGGTGTCTTCTACCACGCTCTCGCGTTGGGATATTGGAAGGCTATACGTGATCTTATTCAATGATCCGACCGACTACCACAAAATATATCTTTATTCTTTTTAACTATCTACACGATAAATAATAATCTCTATATATAACAACACGTGCTAGGACGTTATGAGAGAAATCCAGCTCTCTCTTTTTTATTCTTAAAAGCCTCTAATCTTGTCCTGTCCAATGAGGTCGCTAGTTGCGTCTTTGGACAAGTTCTGCCGCTACACTACTCCACCTCCAGTGACTCGCTAAGCGAGTACACGAATCTAACCTATCCTTGCTTCTTATGATCTTGGCTGGATGTGGACGGCAGTGGCTGATGGGTGGTGGGGGGAGGGTCGTCAGGAGTTGAAGTATCTTCTTGCTCTATAAGGGCAGGCTTCAGTCTATCTGTATTTATGGCTTCTGGATGTCCCTTGTAGTTGATTCTGTAAATAAAATCTGACAGTCTTGTTATGATAGGAAATGGACCTTCGTATGGGAGCTCTAAGGGTCCTCTTGGACGGTCCACTCGTACGAATACGTGGGTGCAGTCTTCCATCTCTTTGTCTAGGAACGTCTTCTTTCTTGTATGATGTGCTGTGGGAGGTCCTCGAACCATGCGTATACGTTCTCTTAGTTTTTCAATAAATATCTGTGGGCATCCAATTGGATCTTCAGCGGTGAAATATTCTCCAGGTAGTTTCAAGATGGTTCCGTAGACCATCTCTGCTGCTGATGATTTAATGTCTGATTTATAGCTTGCTCGTAATCCTAGGAGCACCATTGGGAGTATATCGACCCATTATTGTGACATATGGCATTTAATTGCTGTCTTCAGAGAGCGATGCCATCTCTCAATCATTCCATTTGATTGGGGATGATATGCCGTGGTTCTGGTTCTTCTACTGCCAATCAGTTTGGCCATGGATTCGAAAAGAGCGGATTCAAATTGGGTACCTCTGTCGGTTGTGATTACTGCTGGTGCACCAAAGCGGGCAATCCATGTATTGAAGAAGGCGTTCGTTACTGTGTCCGCTGTGCAGTCTGTCATTGGCGTAGCTTCTGGCCATCTAGTAGTTCTATCTATCATGGTGAGGCTGTATTTAAATCCTTTTGAGATTGGGAGTGGTCCTACAATATCTATATGGACTTGATGAAATCTTTCGTCAGGAACTGTGATTTGTTCTGGCGTCCTCACATTATGTCGCGCTATTTTCGCTTTCTGGCATGCGAGACAGGTTTTCACCCATCTAGCGATATCCTTCTGAATATTTGGCCAAATGAATCTTTCAGTTATAATTCTTTTAGTTGCTCTTATACTCGGGTGAGATAGGCCATGCGAGACTTCGAAAATCCTTTTACGTAAGGAAATTGGAACGTACACTAATTGAGTCTGATACGTCACAATATATTGTTTTCTCGCTGTCATCTAGACGTAGTTTTTTTAATGATAAGGCTGTTTGAGACTCTAATAACGTTTTGAGTTCCGCATCTTTTTGTTGTTCTGTGTATAATTCGTCTGTTGATACAACAACTGGCATTTCAATTGTTTCTAATCGTGATAGAGCATCTGCGACTTCGTTTTCTTTTCCTCGAACGTGGATTATTCTGGTTGTAATTTGACTGATGAAGTCGAGTTGCCTTCTTTGTCTTTCGGATGCTTTGTCTGATGCTTGCTGGAAGGCGTACAATAATGGTTTGTGGTCGGTTGCTATGGTTATGTCTCTTGCTTCTACTAGATGCCGGAAAAATTTTAGACTAGTATAAATGGCTAGTAACTCCCGATCGTATGTGTTATACTTTTGTTGAGTGTCTGTTAATTTTTTTGAAAAAAATCCTAGCGGTTTTTTATTACCTTCTTGGTATTGCTCCAAGACAGCTCCTACGGAGAAATTCGAAGCATCTGTGCTCAAAATAAGTTTAGCGCCTTCTAGTGGGTGTGCTAGGAGGGTTGATTCTGCCAGGCGCTTTTTGCTTTCTTCAAAGGCTGTGCTGGCTTCGGGGGTCCAAACTACTAGTCGTTTATCCTTTTTTTTGCTCCTATTAGGTATTTATTTAGCGGTGCTAATAGTGTTGCTGCGTTCTTGATAAATCGGTGGTAAAAGTTGATGATTCCTAGGTATCGTCTGAGCTCGCTGATGTTAGTCGGTTTTTTAAAGTTTGTAATGATCTCGACTCTGTTTGGGGTCGGTCTGATTCCTTTCGACTGTATAACCTAAGTAGTCTATTTTTTTCTCACCGAACTTACTTTTTGCTACATTTATGTTTATGCCATATTCCTTAGTTTTTGGAAGATTGTTTCCAGATGATGGTAGTGTTCCTCTTCATTTTTCGATGCGACTAATATGTCGTCGATGTAGCCGAAACAGAAATTTAGTCTACGAAGTGCTACATCGATAAACCTCTGGAATGATTGTGCTGCATTTCGCAACCCAAAAGGCATCCGGTTAAACTCGAAAAGCCCAAAGGGCGTAGTTATCGCCGTTTTATGCCGATCTTCTTCTGCTACTGGGATTTGAAAGAATGCTTTAACCAGATCTATTTTAGAAAAAATTTGACAATTGGCTAGGTGGTACGAAAAATCTTGTATGTGCGGTAGGGGATACTTATCTGGTATAGTAGAACTGTTCAGTTTACGGAAATCTCCACACGGTCTCCATCCGCCATCGTTTTTACCGACCATGTGTAGAGGGCTTGCCCATTGAGAAGACGATGGTCGGCAAATTTCTTGCTCTAACATCGCTCCAAATTCTCTCTTGGCAGCTTTGTACTTTTCCGGGGAAAGTCTACGTGATCGTTCCGCAGTTGGTGGTCCCTTTGTTGCAATGTAGTGTTTGACATTATGGACTATCTCTTGGGACATAGCTGGGCGTGTTATTTCTATATATTTCTGCAGTAGGTTGCCGAATTTTCAATCTTCGTTGATGGTTGCTACAGATGGTTGTTCCGTGATCGTTGCTCCGGTCTTTGTAGACAGTAATGTCTACTCGTCGAGCAGCCGGCGTCTCTTTAAATCCGGTAATAATCCATGGTGCGCTAAAACATCAACGCCAATAATGGGTTGTTTAACCTCTGCTACTATGAAATCCCATCTAAATGGTCGCCTAAGTCCTAGATTCAGAATCTTCGTTCTGCGTCCGTGCGTATGTATAACAGTATTGTTGACTGCAAAGAGTTGAAATTCTTCCAACTTGTTTGAGCTTGGCGCCATTCTTCGCGGAATTACGGATACGTCGGCCCCTGTATCTATTAGGTATGCTATGCCTTTCTATCGCAAATTGTCAGGCGTGGGGTCTGTGTCAATCCGTCAACGACCGCCTGTCACCGTGACGATACTTTTAGTTTTCCGTGATAGCCTTCTTTTCATATGCGCAAGGCTGTGTGCATTTGTATGCCTCTGCGCCAAATCTGTTATGGTAGTAACACAGTTCTTTATTGTCGCGCGTCTGGGACTTGCTTCGCGGTCTTTTGTAAAAATTCCTGCGTCCACGTGACTTGCTTCTTGATCTGTTTCTGACTTGCTTTGTTAGCTTGGCTATCTGCTTGGTCAACTCTGCTATTTCAGCTGAAACTTTGCTAGAGTTATCACTGTTCTCAGGACATACTGATTGGATACTACCTGGAAATGGTTTTGCTACTTCCATTACCTTATCAGCTTGCGCGACTAACTTACTGAGATCGGTTACCTCGCTAATCGCTAAAATTGCGCATATGTTCTCTGGTAGACGCTCCATGAATATCGACTTGAGTATCTGGTCGCCTACTTGTCCTTCTGCAAGATTTCGCAGGCGCTGTAGAAATATTGAAGGCTTATCGTCTTCAAGTTCATGTGTTGCAAGCAAGCGTCTGATACTTGTAGCAGTTGTCTCTCCGAGGACTGAGACCAGGCGCTCTTTAATGGAGTCGTACTTCTCTTTTTCTGGTGGGGATGTCACAATATCTGCAACTAACGGAAGTGTACTTTGATCTAGGTCAATGCTTAAATTTAGTTGCACATTTCGGGCCGATTTAGTTGTCGACGCCTCCTTGTCCCCCCTTGCCGCGTATCCCATAGCAACGAATCTCCCGATGCTCTTGTAAACAACGCGCGTACCGACTTACCTCAAGAGCGTCTGTACTTCCGATGGGATTGATGAATCCCCCTTAGCTTAAATAACTTATTAAAACCATCCTTTTTGAAGAATTTTAAATTAATAATTGAAAATATTTGTATATATTGTTAATATTAATAATAATACTATACATAGTGTTATTATTATTGATACATGTACATACCTTTCAATCATTTAATCATAAATATATCTTATTTAAAGGTCTTAACTTGTGCGCAAGATTCATAATAAAATTACAAAATAATTTATTTTTGCAACATGTATAATATACAGTAAGAAAATCGACAATATAAGAAATATATATACAATATGTAATTATTGAATAATTATAGTTATAGGTCAATAGTTTCCACGTCACCATTGAGGTACTATTGTTGACGTGTTTTTTTTTAAAGTGGTTTCCCCAGTAGGCCTATTCCACTGAAAAGAAAAATATGTAAAGAGAATTATTTATGAGAAAAAAAAACGAAAATTGAATGATGAACGAACAATAAATATTAATTTGATCTTTTAGGCCGTTTACACTTATTTTGTTCGTTCATCGTTCAATTTTCGTTTTTTTTCTCATAAATAATTCTCTTTACATATACTTCTTTTCAGTGGAATAGGCCTACTGGGGAAACCACTTTTAAAAAAACGCGTCAACAATATAGTACCTCAATGGTGACGTGGAAACTATTGTCCTATAACTATAATTATTTAATAATTACATATTGTACATATATTTCTTATATTGTCGATTTTCTTTCTGTATATTATACATGTTGCAAAAATAAATTATTTTGTAATTTTATTATAAATCTTGCGCACAAGTTAAGACCTTTAAATAAGATATATTTATGATTAAATGATTGAAAGGTACATACAACTATCAATAATAATAACACTATGTATAGTATTATTATTAATATTAACAATATATACAAACATTTTCAATTATTAATTTAAAATTCTTCAAAAAGGATAGTTTTAATAAGTTATTTAAGCTGAGGGGGATTCATCAATCCCATCGTAAGTACAAACGCTCTTGAGGTAAGCCGGTACGCGCGTTGTTTACAAGAGCATCGGGAGATTCGTTGCTATGGGATACGCGGCAAGGGGGGACAAGTAGGCGTTGATAACGAAATCGGCCCGAAATGTGCAACTAAATTTAAGCATTGAGTACTTAACCTAGATTCTAGGTTAAGTACTACATGTCAAAACTTAGATTCATCACTTGAAATTCGGCCAATCGCGAATGCTGCCTCGACCTGTGCGAACCACAGCTGCGGGTTATCTCTCCAAAACGGTGGAAGGCGTACTGCGTATGAAGCATTGATTAATGATCCAATGCCTTCACTGCCCGAACCACTCACTGTGGCAATCAATTGCGGATTTGTTGTAATGGTCTTTAGCTTCAGGATCGTCGCTAGTGGCTTCCGACCTTGCCTTGTCGGGTGAATGTTCAAGTGGCATGCTTGTGGCTTAATGCCTTGTATGTTACCTGACTACGATGCGTGTGGCACCGGATATACCTCCATCGGTTGACGAGGTTATGGTTTGTAGATCACGTCGGGGTCACCAATTATGGCAGTCCGGATCACGGTGTCTTCTACCACGCTCTCACGTTGGGATATTGGAAGGCTATACGTGATCTTATTCAATGATCCGACCGACTACCACAAAATATATCTTTATTCTTTTTAACTATCTTATCGTGTAGATTCTACACGATAAATAATAATCTCTATATATAACAACACGTGCTAGGACGTTATGAGAGAAGTCCAGCTCTCACTTTATTGTTCTTAAAAGCCTCTAATCTTGTCCTGTCCAATGAGGTCGCTAGTTGCGTCTTTGGACAAGTTCTGCCGCCACACAAGCATCAAGTAGCGGAAGCAGCAACCAATCAACCAGGCGATATGAGCAGTGGCATAGAAAAATTTCTTTTTGCAGTTTATGTCACTGCTCATTCGCCTGGCTGATAGATTGCTGCTTGACGCTTGTGTGTGAATGTACCTTTAGGTTGTGTTCCAAAATTCACTGCCAGCGCTGATAATGTAGTTTACGTTACGTCCCGTATTCAGAACGCACTTACAACGATGTTAGCGCTCTAACATGCTATAATTTATGTTACACATACTATAGAATTTCAGATAAAAAAGCGCGCTATTATCAATAAAAACGCGTTTTAAATACGGACCTTAGTGTATATATTTTCAGCACTGATAGTGAACTTTGGATTTGGAACATACACAACCTAGTTCCTATTTCCTAACATAATGTCCAAGAAAAGAAGCCCACTGTGGCAATATTTTATAAATAACACGACTACCGGGACTTGCAAAATCTGTTTGAAGGATGTCCGAACAAGTGGAAATACTACAAATCTCAAGAAGCATCTGCAACGAAATCACCCGGATATTTATTTGCAATTTTCGAAATCTTTAAAATCTTCTCAGACTCAACAGGAATCAGAGGAAGAGTTTTCGACTTCTTCCGAGACAGAGTGTGACAGTGTACCAAGTACAAGTATATCTCAAAGCTCCTCAGTGTTATTAAAAAAGGTAGAAGAATACAAAACTTATTTATTTTAATAAATGCTAATATAAGGGTCTACGCACAATAGGAGAAATATTAGGAACAGATATTAGATATAAGAATTTTAACCTATCAGAAAGCGCACATTCCACAGTACACAGTTCTGATAGGTTAAAATTCTTATATTCTTATTTTAATATTTGTTCCTAATATTTCTCCTATTGTGCGCAGACCCTAACTATAGTTATTAAAGTTAAATCTGCATATATATGGGGCATTCCAAGTGTCCGCCATTTTGAAAACTTGCATCGTCGTAAACCGGTCTGATCGAAAAAAGAGTATTCTTAGGGTGCAGTCACATGGAGTCAGAAATAACGGAACGGAACAGTAACGGAACATTGATAGAAAAGAGATAGAACGTTCTATCTCTTTTCTATCAATGTTCCGTTACTGTTCCGTTCCGTTATTTCTGACTCCATGTGACTGCACCCTAAGAATACTCTTTTTTCGATCAGACCGGTTTACGACGATGCAAGTTTTCAAAATGGCGGCGCGCCTAAAAGACCGCTTTCAATTTTCTTTTAATATAGCTCAAAATGTAGCCCCAGGTCTCTACTTTGTTATTCTAAAAGGACTTAATGGGACATGTATTCGTTTGGGAGTAAGAGCTAGAAAAGTGAGGCAATGTTGTCACCCTGCCGCGGCACTCACTTTCCTCACTTTTTTAGCTCTTACTTCCAAACGAATGCGTGTCCCATTAAGTCCTTTTAAAATAACAAAGTAGATACCTGGGGCTACATTTCGAGCTATATTAAAAAAAAATTGAGAGCGGCCTAAAGGCGCGCCGCCATTTTGAAAAGTTCAAAACTGAAAAACATCATCGTAAACCGGTCTGATCAAAAAAAGAATATTCTTACGTGAAAGAGCGTTCAATTTTTTATAAGAATACGTCTGCACTTTATTTTCAAAATTGCCTTTCATGCCCACTAACGACAATCGAAAAGAGCGCTTCAACGAGAAAGCCCAAAAATTGACGGTTCTACAGTTCGGTAACCAGTTGGCCTACAGGTATATTATTTGGCATAGAGTCTTCACTCATCAAACTGTTCAAGTTCACGCAATATGAACGAAATCCATGGAACTTCGCAAAATAGGTGGCCCACTTGGCGTGGAATGTCCCATATAAATATAATACATTCTGCTTTAATGAGGGATCTCCTGAATTTGGTACACAATTAATTAAAGTTCCTTGCAAGCAGCGTCGTATCGATGAAGCTTTTCTAGACATAAAAGGGTTTGAAAGTAAGTTCAATGTTATGTAAAATCTAAGATTGACATCATATTTTAAAGATGTATTTCAAATATAATATATTATAACTATTTAGTCTTTATTATTGAAGTAGTTTATGCTGGATATACAAATAATACAAAAATAAAATATATCGATGATTTTAGCTGTATTAAATAAGATTAGTTTCAATTGGACAAATCACGATTGGATATAAACCACTCACAGCTCTAGAGCAGAAGTGCGTTCAGGAATTATACCCAGATAAGTCTCGGTTATAACAAGTAAACATCAGCGTTATCTGGCTATGGTACAATTTCTGAAAGTATCCCAGTGGAAAAACACTAAGCATCAGGCGCTATGAGTGACTATGCTCAATCGTTTCATATGTATTCATGTCAATTATATTTATTAGCTTTTAACTGAACATAGTTAAACATAACTTTCATAATTTTTACTTTATGAAAATCAACATATTATTAATAAAAATCAATATTATATTTCAATATATATCAATTTTATATTTATTTTTAACTAATGACTGTTTATTGCTAAGACCTTTGTAATTTAACTAATATTTGGCTCGTAGCCCTATTTTATATTGATTGATTTTTAAATTTATTGAGCCTTGTTATATACATATTTTTTAATTTACGCGGGCGAAATTATGCGTTTGTCAGTTTTTCATTATGTACTCTTTTAACTTCACTTTTTCTTATATTAGACGTCATTTTGGATTTTATTATTGTGACATTCTTAAAAGATTATGTAATTTAGTTAAATTAAGTGTTAATGTTCGAGTCCGCATTAAATTTATTAATTCTTGTTTAAAGTTCCAAATTGTTCCTCCACATTTACAATATTTGACTAATCAGAATAACTTTTCATTACATAATAATGCGTCATTTAACAGACTTAAGAGTTATCAATTGAATTATGTAAAGAATATCATGCGATTAGAGCTTAAAGATGCCTACTGCCACCTTCATAAAATTAGAATGGACATTTTTAACTTGTCTCATAAGATTTATGTTTCACTGCCATTCCGAGTACAATGTGAATTCTTCAAATATTTGGATTTTATCGGTAATTCATATTTTT